TCTTCACAGACTTGTAGATGAGGAAGCTGAAGCTTAGAGGAACTGAGTGACAAGCTCAAGGTCAGAGCCAGGAAGTGGCAGGCCCAGGACCCCACGCCCAGGCTGCTCTTCTTGGCCTGACCCTCAGGCCCCTCCCTGTCCATGGCAGTGGACTGGCACAAAACTTGGCCAGCAAACACACAAGAATGGGTCGTGCCCCACTGGTGTCTCTCAAGCAGATTTTTAAATTTCCAGCAAGCCAATCACTTGTGCCTATGGGCCTAGCCTTTGATATTATAAAGTCACAGCTGCTTTCCAAGAACAGGGGACCCTGTCCCACTTCCTAAGCCTGTTCAATTGAGCTTCAAAGCCTCCTGAATTTCTAGAAGTGCCCAACAAGCTCAGGGAGGTTAGAGGAAACATGAAACCCCATGTGCCTCACATCCTCTCCCCACCCCTGTTGTGGGAACTGATACCCCAGAGGGACAGTGACTAACCTCTCATACCCCAGTCTCCAGATCTGTAAAATCCTAGGACTGTCATGAGGGTGATATGAGGTAGGGGTTATAGAGCACTTGGAAGGATGCTTGGTACACAGTGACTGCTCTATAAGTGCCAGTCATGATGCTTTTCCTGTATTCGCTCACTCATTCACTCAGACACTTGCTGGGCACCCTCTCTCTGCCAAGCATGGCTCTAGGCGCAGCAAATGCAGAAATGCACACACATTCTTCCTGGGCTCAAGAAGCATATGTTTTAATGAGGGGAAGCGATGTTGGAACACAAACAATTTTGCCTCGAGGGAATAAGCGAGGTGCAAAATGCTGTGGGTGTCCAAACAAGAGAAGATCACATCTAGGCCGGGCAGCTGGGGCAGGCTTCCTGGGAGGAGGGGAGGGCCAGGAGAACAACTGCCACCTGAAAGGCCGGGTAGTAAGGAACCAACTAGAGCGTCAGCTCCATGGAGCAGAGCGGGAGGGGATGAGGCTGGCCGTCCTGGGGGGAGACTATATGAGGCTCTGGTGTCAGGGAGGCAGAGCCAGCCAAGGGAAGCCGTGGCGGATGGAAGGCATGGCAACTCCAAGAACACAAACAATTTTGCCTCGAGGGAATAAGCGAGGTGCAAAATGCTGTGGGTGTCCAAACAAGAGAAGATCACATCTAGGCCGGGCAGCTGGGCAGGCTTCCTGGGAGGAGGGGAGGGTCGGGAGAACAACCGCCACCTGAAAGGCCAGGTAGTAAGGAACCAACTAGAGCGTCAGCTCCATGGAGCAGAGCGGGAGGGGATGAGGCTGGCTGTCCTGGGGGGAGACTATATGAGGCTCTGGTGTCAGGGAGGCAGAGCCAGCCAAGGGAAGCCGTGGCGGATGGAAGGCATGGCAACTCCGTGCCCTGCCCCCAGCTTTCTCCCCGGGTTGCTGGGACCCCTGTGTAGGAGCCATTGGTTTGGCTTTGTGTCTGTAGCCTCTAGGGGTGGTGGTGGACACAGGGACCAAAGGGTCAGGTTTCATCCCAGGCTGCCTTGTAGGTCTGGGGAAGACCCTGTGGCACCCTGAGCCAGCCTGGCACCTCCACCTGCTATCCTTTAGAGAGTACTGGGACTAGCACCCCCAAGTGGTTCAAAGGAGAGATGATCCAGGGCCACCTGCTACCCCAGGGTCACCACCATGGGAGCTTGTGTGACCACCCACCACCCCACATTCAGGGTAAAAGGACTGGCTTCCAATAGGTGTGGAGGCCATGACCTCTCCCGCACTGGGAAGTGGCTCCTGGGGGGTGGTAGAGACCTTCCAGGAGACCCAAGGGACAGGGGGTGCGAAGGAGTGGTGTCAGGGCTGGACTTTCTATGGTAGCCCCTCAACCGTGGCCTGGAGGGTGGGGCCCAGCCCACTCTGTCTGTCCCCTCAGGTGAGTTAGACTCAAGGCCCTATTTTAAGAGCAAGGGCTCTCACACAGCTTTTAGTCCAGTGCCTTTTAAACGCTGGCTCTGGAATCCCTTGTTTAAACAGCATTTTATGGAATGTGATGCATAAAATAAAATGCACGCATGTGTGTTTAGTGACTCAGGCGTGTTCAACTCTTTGTGACCCCGTGGACTGAGATGTTTTCCAAGCAAGAATACTGAAGTGGGTTGCCATTTCTTCCTCCAGAGGATCTTCCTGACCCAGGGATTGAACTCGTGTCTCCTGCATCTCCCGCTGCATGGCAGGCAGATTTTTTACCGCTGAGCTATCGGGGAAGCCCCCAAAATAAAATGCATCCACATAGAAACGGCTCTGGATGAAACTGAGCAAAGAGGGCCCAAGGCCCACCCCCACGTGTGTCCACACACTTTGTGACCCTGTGATTTGGTCCAACTCTCATTTTGCAGAAGAGAAACTCTCCACCTAGAGAGGGGAACTGACCAGCCTAAGGTCCCAAAACTAACCTCTGAAAGAGTCAGGACCCGCAGAGAAGCAAATGAAATAAAGGATGAGAAAGTGTTTTATAAACTGTAAAGTGTAGGGTTATTATCTCCACTTTATGGCAAGTTCTTGGGCATTTTCCCATGTCGCTACTTTGGGAGAGGTCACCAGAAAAAAAAAGGACAAAGAGTGTAGGCATCACAGGCAGTGTGGGAAAAGCACAGGATTGGACCTGAAGACAGTTATTTTAGAAGCCGTATGCTGCCGTGTACAAGCCGTGCAGTCTTGGACAGCCTACTTTGCCTCTCTGACCCTCCATCTCCTTTTCTAGGAAAACGCCTTCTTTACTATCTTCCTGGGATTACTGGGGTTCAGGTGAAGCAATGCCTGGGAAAGTGCTTGTAGCCAGGCCTAGGGCCCCAGAACTATACTGTCTCATGAGGAGCAGTAATGGCGGTAAACAGAAGACCTGAAGGCTTTGAGGACTAGCATTTAGCGCCCAGAAGGCACTTGCTGTCCCTGAGGGCTTGAGCCAGCTGCTGACAGGGCGGGAACCCAAGAGTTCCGTCTTTGCTGTCTAGACACGTCCCATAGGTCATACAACACCCGGACACGCAGCCCTCAGACACCGTTTGTCAAGGCGTCTAAGGCACGACCTTCCATCACCGGGTGCTGACTCAGCCCCCAGTGAGCTCAGCTCCCCTTTTGCACACTGTGGATGCCAGAAGGTGCCTGGCCAGTCACTCAGCACCCCCTAAACTTCACTGGCTCTGTGTCTTGGTGACGAAGGAAAGGGCCAAATTGGATGTGTTTCAGGAAAGCAAGAAGTGATTTCTCTCAAAGACCTTGGAGAGTTCTTTCCTCCCTCCCTGCCGTGTGCTCCGCAGGGGACGTCCAGTGGCTGGCAGCCGAACTCTGCTCAGGATGCACACGCTTGGACTAAAACAAAGGCAGGAGCCCGGGGACTAATGGATGGGGGTTGGAGAGCCTGGCAGGTGTTCCAGGAGGAGGGAGGAGTCCTCAGACATTCCTGGCAGTGCTGCCTGGGGGTGACCTTGGGCACACCACTCTCCAGGTGGAAAGGCGCCGGGAAGAAATCAACCACAGGACACCTAAGCCCTTGTGACTCAGCTACTGGGCTCTGAGTCAACAAAGATTTATTGAGAACCTACTGTGTACCAGGCACAGTGCTAGGCCTTGCGGAACAAAGGAGACAGAAAGTTCTGCCCTCGTGGAGCTGACATTCTAGCGGGAACAGAGGAAGAAGAGATAAAGAGGAAAATAGAAAGTGATCAGCTAGTGGTAAAAGACATGGAGAGGCTGAAGGGTAAGGGATACTGGGTGATGGTGATTTCAACTTTCAGAAATGTGGGAAGGAAGGCCTCATCAAGAAGGACAACTGAGTGAAAGTCTGAAGGATGTGAAGGAGGGAAACAGCCATGTGGATCTCAGGGAAAAGCGTTCTGGGCAGAGGGAACAGCAAGTGCAAAGTCCTTGAGGCAGGAGCGTTCAGCAGGGAGGCCAGTGTGGCTACAGGAGAGTCAGACAAGAGAGAGACGAGGACTGAGCGGCAATTTAATCTTTTGTGTTGTTCCTCAGAGAAGAAAAGATCCACCTGATGACTTTAGATGCATTCATAATGCTACTATTTAAGAGATTCATTCCAAACCTCAGTGACAAAGCCTTCTATATTTCTAGGTCTCATTTACCTGAGGGCCCTTGGGACAGCAGAGAGAGCCTGGGTTCAAGTCCCAGCACCTAACAGCACCTTTGTTACCTGGGGAAGGGCCTCCCACCTCTCTGAGCCCCGGTTACACTGCTGAAGTTCAGCAGTTGCCTCATCTGCAAAATAGGTTAATATTGCAGCCACCCATGCTTACCTTACTTGATTATTGTTAAACTTAAAGAGAAAGTAAACATCTCTCAGTCGTATCTCTTTGTGACCCCATGGACTATACAGTCCATGGAATTCTCCAGGCCAGAATACTGGAGTGGGTAGCCTTTCCTTCTCCAAGGGATCTTCCCATCCCAAAGGATCGAACCCAGGTATCCAGCACTGCAGGCAGATTCTTTACCAGCTGAGCCACAAGGGAAGCCCAAGAATACTGGAGCGGGTAGCCTATCCCTTCTCTAGGGGATCTTCCCAGCCCAGGAATTGAACCAGGGTCTCTTGCATGGCTGGCGGATTCTTTACCAATTGAACTATGAGGGAAGCCCATTTGTTGCTAAACTTAATGAGATCATAAATAGAAAGTGACTTTTACATTGAAACGGGTAAAATAAATGTCACGTTGCGTTTTTGTTTTCTTCAGCAAAGCCTATGATAAGGGCTCATCACTGGCTGCCCACTCCCCTCCACCACCCTGCTCCCCATATTGCATCCCACATGGGCCCTGTTGATTCTCACTTTGCTGAAGTCCACCTCTGATTCAGGGACACTCATCAGATGCCTGGAGACCCCAAGACAAGGCTGCCAGAAGTTCCCTGGGAATGTTCTGGGACGGATATGTCCCCACATTGGCCTGTCCAGGAGGGCTCTGAGCCCACTGCTCTGGTCGGGTGGAACCAGGCGGGCCCAGCCTCTCCTCCCCAACATTTCCCTCCGCCTTCCTCCAGGTACAATGGCCCCAACCTGGTTCTGAAGTACGATCGGGCCCAGAAGCGGCTGGTGAACATCGCGGTGGACGAGCGCAGCTCCCCATACTACGCGCTGCGTGACCGGCAGGGCAACGCCATCGGGGTCACAGCCTGTGACATTGACGGGGACGGCCGCGAGGAGATCTACTTCCTCAATACCAATAACGCCTTCTCAGGTAAGGGCTGCGGGCCTTGGGCCTTCCCTAGGAAGGAGGCTCCCACCTTCCTCCTCCCATCACCAGGTTACAGTCACCAGCTTCCCCAGGGCCAGGCCCGGCCACCTCCGGGACCTCAGTTTGTCCCAGCAGTGACCCAACAGTGACACCCCCAGGAGGCCCTTTCTTCTCTTGTGCATGAAGCTTTCTCTCACCTCCCGGCCCCTGGGCCTGGCGATAGAGGCCTTGAGCAGAAGGCCAGTCCCTCTCCCTCAGACCATATGTCCTCTTTGCCCTCCAGTCACAGTGGCCCCCCATCCTCCTAAGTAACCCGTCCTCCCTTCTCCCCCAGCTGCTGTGCGGCTCTGTCATTCAGGACTTCTCACACCCATCACCCGCAGATGACCCCCACCCCCTGGCGTAGCCTCCATGGTACTTTCAGGGGGCCTTTCTAAAATGCTCGGAAATCCTTCACGGGCCCCCAAAGCCTTCAACTGAGCTCATTCTTTCACCCCACAGTCCTGCCGAGTACCTGCTCCCTGCCAGGCAAGAGGCCCTCGGGGCTGGGGACACAACTTGGAGGGAGACAGACCTGGGGCCTGTCCTAGCCCAGAGCACCATCCCGTGTCACTTGGGCTCTTGTGTAAATGCAGAATCTGCCTCAGCAGGCCTGGCTGGGGCCCGAGAGCCCGCCTTGCTAACAAACTCTCAGGTGATACTGCTGCTGCTGGTCCAGGTGGACCACACTTTGAGTAGTGATGTCCTACATCCCAAGGAATGGCTGAGGGAAATTGATGCCCAGAAGGCTACATAATAATAACAATGATGAAAATAACTAATATTTTAGTAGCTCCTACTCGGCAGAAAGTGAAGAGGAACTAAAAAGCCTCTTGATGAAAGTGAAAGTGGAGAGTGAAAAAGTTGGCTTAANTGCGATTCATGGGGTCACAAAGAGTCAGACACGACTGAGTGACTGAACTAACTCGGTGCCAGGGTGGGGGTCTAAGTGCTTTGTCTTCTTGTTGTTCAGTTGCTCAGTCATGTCTGACTCTTTGAAAGCCCATGGATTGCAGCACCCCAGGCTTCCATGTCCTTCACTATCTCCCAGAGTCATCTCATTTAAGTCTTAGGACAGCTCAAGTATGTAGGTACTGGTATAGCCCACTTTATAGTTGAGGAAACTGAGGCACAAAGAGGTCACATGACTTGCCCAAGGTACACAACTTGTACACCCCAGGATTCAGACCCAAGTGTTTGACTCAAGATCCATCCTTTTAATCAGCACAATCTATGGCCTTACTCAATCTGAGGCCCTGGGCACCTAGTAGAGAGCCGGGCTCACAGTTGGCGCTCCATGTTCCATGAGTTGGGAGGCTGTATTCTTGGGGCTGCAGACAGAGGTCTGCTCCCATGGGTCCATAACATCTGCAGGGAAGTCCCAAGCCACACTTCCTCCTGAAGGATGCAGGGTCTCATGTCCCTATGGGGCCAGGTTGGACGTGTCCGGGACTGTTCCAGATGGTGGCAGCCTCTTGGGTTGTTCTGGATCCCACTGTGCAGTTCAGACTTGTGCATTCACTGTCCTGCACACTCCCAACCTCCTGGAGTCAGGTGATCACCTTCCCTGCCTACACACACACACACACAGTGGCTTTACCCTGGCCTATATTGTTGCCCCTACTGGTGTCTGAGCCCAAGCCAGGATCCACCCCAGACTGCCCTTGCTGTTGAGCCCTGCCAGTTGCCTGAATGGGAGGGGATGGGGTTGGGGCTGGTGCCAGAGGGAGGGACAGGGGCAGGCAGAGCTGACTGGCTGATAGCCAGCCTTGTGCAGCCAAGAAACAATGAGCCACAGCCCCGAGTGGTGTTTTATGGGTTTTCATCTCATCTTGCCACCAAGTGAGGCCTGAGAGATAGTAATTATCCCTACACAAATATCAAGGCATGATTACCCAGCTGGATTTACTGCCCTCTCTCCAACCAAGCCAAGATTGGATTAGGACACAATTAATTGATGGGCTGATCAACTCTTTAATGTGGGGCAAGGTCAGGAGGGGAGCAGCGGCAAGGGACTCTGTGGAAGGGGTGAGTCCCAGGCTGGAGGGAAGCCGAAGTGGGGAGGACTGTTGGAGGGGGGTGTTTAACACTGGCTCGGTGGGCACGATGCCAAAGGAAGGAGACAGACTCTTCCCAGTCACTGAACACAGAGCACCTGGGCTGGGACCTATCAGGTGTCTCTGAAGCGGCAGCCCTCCCACGCTCTTAGAGCATTTCGTAGTGAATCCAAGAGCCACGGTGCTTAGCCCAGGCTGCACATGAGACTTCCCTGAGGAGCTTTAATGCTCCCAGCTCCCAGGGAGCATCCTGGTCAGTCCAACAGGAAGATCAGAAAGCTCTCCGGGTGATTCCCCTGTGCAGTCAAGGTTGACAGCAATACCCTAGAGTCATGTTGGTTCCATACTCAGCCTAGTCATCACCCCATTCACTCACTCATACATTCATTCACTGGATACATACTTATTGAGCACCCACCATATGCCAAGCACTGTTCTAGGCACTGACGATGCCCCAGTGAATGAACTGACAAAAATCCTTCCCCCTCTCCCCAGTGCAACCTTTTATTTCTCTAGGAACCTGACCCTCCTCTCCTGGCCCTGTGAAATCTTAAGTTTCTCAAGGGCAAAGTCCCTGTGCTGGTCATTTTGTGCCCCATTCTGGCCCAGCCAGAACTTGAACATCCTAAGAGTACAATTAAAACTTGATAAATAAATCCAGGAAGCACAGACAAGGCACACACCATTAGGCCTGTGAGAAGGTTTGCCAACAGAGGAAATATGAGGAGAGGCAGACATATGGAGCCCCCAGAAGGTTCGCCTGGGAGAGGTTGGAGCTCATCCCCCAGAGCTAGGGTGAGGGTGACAGTGCCCTGCAGCCTTAGTCCCAGGCGTGTACCTCCCAGTGGCCTTCTGTGGGTTTGAGTTAATTTTTCAGTTGACTGATTCAGTTGATTCATCGACAGTGGGCGGGTAATGGAGCCAGAACCTTTGTGCCAGGTCAGCACTTCCCTGGGTCCAGCTGGCCTGAGGCTCAGCCACTGCCACCCTGCCCACCATGAGGAATCTGAGATCCTCTCCAGGAGCCCCAGCCAGCCCACACCTGCCCATGGCTTATGACTGGGGCTCCCTCCGCCTGTGCCCAAGCATTGGAGGGACCTGGGGAACGGGGGCCCCTCCCTCTTCCTCAGCCAGCCTTCAGGAGTCAGCACTGGAGTCCCTGGAAGAGGGCTGGGACCCTGCATCCTGGCAGTGGCCTTAGGAGTCAGCCTGTACAAGCCTGGGATCTGCCTCTTACTTCCTGAGTCCTTGAATACCCAGGTTGCTCGACGCCTCTCTGTCTCAACCCCTTCACCTGTAGAACAGGCAAAATCATATCAACTCCATAAGTTTAACTCCTTCTCCATAGACTGTATCCACAGTCTTACCATCACCTACCACACCCCTCCAGATGTGAACCAGCTTGCCTTTCTGACTCCTTCTCCCCTCTTCCTCTTGCTCACCTCATTCCCACCTGAGGCCTTTGCACTTGCTGTTCCCTCCACCTGAGATGCTTTTCCCACCATTGTTCTCAGGACTCACTCCTTCCCTTCATTCAGGCCCCTTCTCAGATGTGTCTTCCCTGTCACTCCCTATGCTCTTAACTTGATTTATTTTTCTTTGGAGCACTTACTACTGTCTGAGAGTATGCTGTATATTTGCCGTTCATCTTTCTAGTCTTCTGCTAAATACCATGGGGACAGGGACTTTGTCTTGTTTTCTGCTGTATCTCCATGACCAAAGAAATACTTATGCCATTTAGTAAACATTAATACATATATCTGACTGAACAGCTGAACTAATGAATGAAAATCACTTATTATGGTGTCTAGGACTTAATCCATGCTCTCTAAACAACTGATGTTATAATTTTGTGGCCTGAAGAAAGGCAGAGACTTTAAAAATGTCCTGGACAAAGGCGCCATGGGCCTCCCTCCTGGCTGCTTGAAGGAAGAGACTCTAGGAGCAGAAAGAAGAAAGGATCATCATGTAAATAAAACCCCACACAAACAAGGGTGTCAAGTGCACGCAGCTCAAGGGTTAATAATTGGAAAGTAGGTAAGAGGGAGGGAGCAAAGGAGGACTGACCACAATCCCAAGAGGCCTGAGCAAGGAAAGCAGCCGATGGCTTAACTGACCTGGAAAAGTACTACAATTTCAGGCAACGCTGAAGCCAGTGTTTCAGGCAACACCACTCTAGAAAAATCAGGTGGGAGCCTGTGCAGGACAAAGCGGGTTAAGAGCCAGCTCCAGCACCCCATCCACAACCCAGCGACCCAGGACCCCTTGCAGCTCCTGTTCAGAGCCCATCCCCCCAGCGTCCTGCACTGACTACCCAGGTTGTTGTTCAGCTTGGCCCTGAGCTCTCCTGCCCATGTGACCTGCCTGGGGTTACAGGAGTGTGGTAGTACTTGGGCCAGTGTGGACTGTGAGCCCCACAATTTAGTTCATTCATTCAATTCAACAGAATGATCACTGCCCATCTGCCATCTTCAGTCTGCATACACCCCCCTCCTCTTCTGCACAAATAGTACTACTCACAGCACTGCCCCTTACATTTTTATTTAACAACTGATTTTGGACTTTATGTCACAGCCACACACAGACAGCTTTCTCATTCTTTTTTATGGCTGTATAGTACTCTATTATATAGATTTGCCAATCCCTGAATTGGCCCTCTATTGAGGAATATTTAAATTGCTTGCAAACCACCAAATAAATAAGCTTGTACTGCATGCCATTCTCCACAGCTGCAGGCGTGTCTGTAAGGTAAGTTCATAGAAATGCAACTGCTGCATTGAAGGAGTATACTGAGGCAGTTTTGATAGGCACAGCCAAATTGTCCTTCAAAGGGACAGTCCTAATTACACTCCCATCAGCCCGCTTGCCAGTGAGCATCTCCCATACCAATACTCTCACCAACTCATG